TATGGGCATGGGTCCGTGACACTTTTTGGGATTCTTCGATGGAGGGGCTCCTTTACTCCAATTGCTAATATAATAGTGTTTCTCAATTTTATCAACCAAGTTACATGTCGTTCGTCGCTCAATCCGCACTGTAAAAACTGCCCAACTGCCTCTTGCGAGAAATACATGTTGGTGTCAATAAACTGACCCCCCTCATGAGTAATGAGAAATTATCTCATTGGCATACATACTACTCTTCAAGTTCAACATCTATGACACCTGTTCAGTTCACGTTTTTGTATACTTCAAATTATACCTTACGTACAGTACTAGTATGGACATGGGTCCGTGACATTTTTTGGGACGCTTCGATCGAGGTATTCCTTTACTCCAAATTGCTAATGTAATAGTGTTTCTTAAAGAGGAGAATTAATCCAGTTCGTAGGACTTAAACTCATGTCTTTGGTGTTGATGGAAAATAAACTAAAATAACTTCGTGAAAATATCCATAACGTGGGGCTGAAAACAGTTCCGAGCCACTTGATTTTATAGTTAGTTACCTCTCAAATCGCAAATAAATTGCTTTGGTTGAAAATTTCAGAGTGATTTTTTCTACTAATCACGTATCGTGGCACGGAACCACGACTGCGCCCATACTACATACTAGTACTCCGGAGTTTAAATCATCCTTTGGCGTCATAAATATCCAACAGCGTGGCCGAAAAATTCTTGCCAGAAAACCCATTAACGATTTTTGTAATAGACCTCTTGACGTACCGCACTGTCAAAGCATGAAGGATCCACATTGATGTAACACTTGCAATACGATGGATTGGTACACTGCGCAACATACGATTGTACTATCCGCATACTGGTACGCTTGCCTCCTTCGTGGTTGTTAGACATGGTCACCCAGTCGCTCCCACGACTGTTTTTGCTCAGAATACATGATACAAGTTCACCTAGTCATTCCCACCACATAGTACGTATCCCCGTGTACCCTTCGCCTCCTTCTCCATCAGTTCGGTACTTCCAACGGTCAGTGGGTTCGTGTGAATTCTGCACTTTCCGCCGAAAAAGTTGTACTAACGTGATTACATCTTTGACTGCCTAGAAAACCTCGACCACCAACAACCACGAAGGGAGGCAAGCGTATGCGGATACATCACGTATATGTAGTACGATTGTATGTCGAGTAGTGTATCAAGTACCGTACTGCAAGTGTTACTTCACGTTGTCAATGTGGATCTACATCCTTTGATAAAGTGCATGCAATACAGTTCAGTAAGCTTAGGGTTTTTTCTGGCAAGAATGTCGGCCACGCTGTTGGATATTTACGACGCCAAAGATAACCCGACCATCCTACTGTTGTGGGTTAATGACAAGAGCTGGATGTACATATGCTGTACGCATCCCAACCATCCATTTGGTTAACCTAGGTACTTGGTGTGCTAGTGCAATCATAGTCTGACGTAAACAATTGGATTGACTTGACTCTAGGTGAAAGACCATTCATTTTCCAATTTCCATCATGAAGTTCGAACTCCTTGTCGCTTTCACCATGGCCACCGCTGCCTTGGCTCAAGACCAAGTTGTCCCAGCCAAAGTCGCTTGGGACGAGGAGGCACCTGAAGACGGTTTCGAAATCCTCGGGGGCCGGGAAGCCAAAACCCACCAGCACCGTTATGTGGTTGGGTTCAAGAGGTCGCCCAATAATGTGACCGAGTGCGGCGGCAGTCTGATCGCCCCCAATGTCGTTTTGACAGCGGCGCATTGTTTGGACAATACTCTACCTTCTGTGGTCGTGGGCACGCACTATTTACAAGGTTTTCGCGACGGGGAACTGGCCACTGTCACCCAGGAAATCAGACACCCTAATGGCGCCGACGTGGGCATCGCAATCTTGGACCGCAACATCACGACCATCCAACCTGTGAGGGTGTCGTTTGAATTCGTTCCGGCGGGCAAGCTCACTTGGGTACGCGGCTGGGGATTCGTCAAGGTTGGTGGCCCCCTATCCCCAGTGCTCAAGGAGCTCAACGTCACGACATGGAGCAACTTCAGGGCCTCGGCTGCGTTGTTCCCCGATCGATTAACCCATTCGGAGTTGGGTGCTGGAGGGGTGGAAGGAGAAGACTCGTGTCAAGGTGACTCGGGGGGACCGTTGACCATCGAAGAAAACGGTGCCGTGCGATTGGTGGGGGTGGTCGCCTGGGGCCGTAAATGTGGTCTGCCCGGCAAGCCAGGTATCTATGAACGCGCCAGCGCTGCTCGTGCCTTCATTAAACCATACTTGCCGAAGTAAGTCAAACTTGCGCGTTGCTATAATGAAAACGACATGGCCAATATACAACCCACTTGGTTGAATATTCAACCAACTTCGTGTAGTGTTTGTAGTAAACATCGATAATTTGATGAATAACCATCATGGTGCAGCACCTGAAGATTCGCGATATGGAAGCACGCAAAGCCATTCTGTCAGTGGAAGATATATCTACTTTTGTATGCTAGTTGTAATCTCTTGCATCATTAACAGACTAAATTAACAGGGAGAACATGTGCCAGTAGTGGGACTGAACGAACTCTTCACGAAACGTACGCTGGGATTAATATTGTTGTGTTTATTCTAAACTCGAGCGTCATGGAGAATGGAATCGACACATCCAAATGTTCAGAAGAATTGGCAGAAGAATATCAGATTCGTGTATTATTTCAATTAGTGTGACACCAATCACTACACCACTTACAAAATTCAGTAAGTTACAAAGAATTGATCGATAGCACAAAAGTCCCAAATTTTGCGTTAATGGACAATACGAATGGATGGTTAGGATTCGACTATCATAATTTCATTAGATGAATCGCGTCCTATATGCTGGCGGCTTTGGTTCACATTGCAGACCAGGGTTGATGTAGTACACATTGTTTATGCGGAAAATGTGGCACAGGCTACATTTTCCGCATAAACAATGTCGTCTCCCCGAAGAGTACAAACAATTCCACCCAGCCCCCATGACCGTTTCTACATCAGTATAACGAATAGACTCGTTAGTCATTTGATGACTCGCCTGGAAATCACGATGTGGGGATACTCCAAGAACAACCTCAACGCCATCCACAACATCCACGTACTGTTTTGCATCCGATGATCTTGGGGCAAAAGCGGCTCAAGCCTGGCAAAGCCGGCATGGCCTACGCGCGCCCAGGCATTTCCCGCCAGATCTCCGACTTCAAATCTCTTCACGACACCCCCACCATATAATCACACCCAAAGTAAGCTATATTTCAGATTTTCGGCATGTTTGAGGTCACTTCACGCATGCTAAATAAGTGCAATCGCCGCACACTGCATCTTGTTGTGTAGCCCGCAACCATGCCTTCAGTTTTCATATCAAATGTATCACGCCGTTGCTGAGCAATTCAACGACAAAGTCATGTACTTTCTGGATAGTTAATATTGTCATAATTTATGACAATGTACTGTTGTGGTCGATGGCAGTCAGCCGGCGCCCCACCATGATGCATGGGGACCAATGGTGGGATTCTTTTTGTAGCCCATTCCACACAATAACGTTTGCGGCTTTTAAAACGTACGAATGCGGCTAAGAGTAATGGATGCGCTTAGGTAGGTCCTGATTGAACATTACTGTAGCTACGCCAACACCACCTTAGGGCATCCCCACCGGTGCGACTGTATAATCAGACTGTAAAATACCGTTTTACAGTTCCTGTATTTTGATTTTCGTCAACCCCAGCGGTAAAACTATACAAAATCCGAATAATGTTTTTATCCGGAAATGAACGCCTGGCGCGCACGTTTGTGTATGTATGATGGCGTGGGAGGACGACGATGATGACATGGATCAAGCTTGGGAGATTCTTGGCTTTCATCAGTCTTCTGCGCCCTAAAGGCTCTACTGCCAACCGCCAGCCAAACCTACCACGAGATAGCGAGGCTGCGCATGCTCGGATTTACCTACTACTTTGGCCCCAATCCAATCTACGGCGAAGCCAAGTTTCGCCGTCGTTTTCGAATGGCCAGACCGCTGTTTCAACGAATCATGGACGGTGTGGTGATGCGTGATGAGTACTACCCTTGGACTCGTTAAGTTGGAGCCACGGACGGCCTTGGCTGATTCCATTTCTGAACCTACTGATTCCATAACACCACATGATTGGACAAAATTATCTATTGATAGCATGTTATTGGCTAATTCGTCAAAACCGTATTTTACAGTCGCGACTGTAAATCTGGCCGATTTGCCGTCTCGCGGTAAAATTTTACGGTTTCCTGTATTTTACTTAGTCGCCCAGTGGGGTTGTCAAAACTGTAAATAATCCGGATAGAACTGTAAAATAGCGTTTACAGTCGCACCGGTGAGGATGCTCTTACCTCCAGTAGTGATTCCAATTGCCCCTCATTCAACAAACGACACTAACCGCATTCTCCAGCTCTGCATATCCACTTACTTTCGCAACGTGAACCACCGTACTTGTTAGCACACAGTGTTTACAAGCAACCCCACTGCTAGCATATCCACAGTGGGGATGCTTGTAACACTAACTGCGACCTCCTTCAATGTGTGCCCCCTTCCACCACAACACTAAATACTCATATTTTCAATACTACAAGTACTAAGATCACTTATATTGTTGCGAGCGACCTCACAGGTAAGCTTATCACAAAACACTCACAACAGAGTTGATTGAGACCATGTGAAGTAATTAAGAGCTCACAAACTTATTCTATGGTGGCAAACTCGTGCACCAGTGAGTTATCAATGTAAATCTAGAAGTGGACATGTACTCCAGCGGTAGGGTTCTTTACAGTGAATGGTCACGCTCGCTACGATGTCCACGGAGTGTTTACTGTACTTCGGTGTCGTTGGCGAGCAAGGAACGAGGCAAGCATGCCTGATGAGTGGCTTGTGTTGCGCAAAGTAACCATGGTAATTCCTCCACGTAATATTGAACGTACTATAATAGTACGTGTACAGTGTACCTTTAGCCCCCGCCAGCAAACAGGACTACCCGTATGTACGTCGATACATTCCAAAAATCCAAGATAGTTGAGCCGGTGATTGGATAACCGACAAATTATTGAATTTTGATTGGTCAGATATTTTTCAGACAATCCGATTTGGCGATGTTGTTGTCGGTTGAGCAACATACCAGTATCAAGCACATATATTACACCATTTTTCGTTTAAGTTCAGGTTAATTCCGGTATATTTCGTCCGACGCACAACTGATTCACCCCATGTGCGTTAGGTTCGCCGAACATTCGACATATTTTGTCCAGACCCTACTTCGTTGCATTATATTTCGACTAATGTCCGGTATATGTCACCCCCAGGTGGTATATTTCACACGCTCAAATGATGTTCCATCTATTTCGATAAATAATCGACGGAACGAAGTAGCCAATGGAATTTTCGGGAAAAAAACTTTCGACCAATCAAATATAAAAAAATTACAGGCGTATCCAGTTGCATTGCCAAGCTTCTCCATTTCACAAAGAGTTCAACATTGTATCGGACTGGGAGTCACAGTGAGTATATTTAGTTGAAGTAAAATGACGCTCGACGATTTCAAGTGGATTTGATGTCGTTCGTCAAATCTACCGAAAATATCAATTGAAAGCACAATCCTTCAAGTATCTACTCCGGAGCATGATTTAGACAAGTATCCACCACCTGCGATTTACTTGATTTGCTTCGAAAATCGAAATAGATGGAACATCATTTGAAATATATTGAACAGCGTGTGAAATATACTGCCGGGGGGTTGACTTATACCGGACATTAGTCTAAATATGATGCAACGAAGTAGGGTTTGGACGAAATATATCGAATGTTCGGCGAACATAACGCACATGGCGTGAAATATACCACAAATAACCTGAACTTGAACGAAAAATGGTGTAGTAACTAACATATACAGCTTGCAATTGGTTGAAAACACATTCGGATCGACATAACAATAACCAAGACTTGTAGTGGTGACCAAAAAATAATTCCCGGTAGAAATATACTTGTTTTGTTCAAATAAATGAATTATTCTTTTCATGCAGGCCAAAAGATAAATAATTCATTGTCAATCAGCACAGCGAGGGGAATAGATAATTCATTATCATTATTATTCTTTCAACCCCCACAACGAATAAATATCGAGCTTGAGGGGAATAATTCGTGGCTAGAAATGACTTTTGCTGCAAGCCATTAAAACCCCAAAGTGCATTTGAGCCATTCAATTCAGGACAAAAGGACATCAAACATCATTATCATTTTTGATGAACCAGCCCCACGCAATTCTCCGTGGCTGTCAGATCACCGAGCTCTTTTTTACGCGTACTGCTCCTCGCAGCAATATGTGGGTGTGTCGCTGTGGTGTTTGTCTCACGCAAACTGGTAGTGGTAACACGAATCTGTGTTTCCATGTAACTGTTGTTCATCCGGACTATGCTACTTTCGACGCTGCGAACCCTCCCAATCCCACTGAGATATCATGGGCCCACGCCTAGTTTGTACAATGTACGGGTGGTTGAACTGGATCTGTTTGTCCCTGCTGCCC